ACTTGTGTTCATGATCTCATTCTTTCGGTCATCACCCACAGCTCATGACCATAGGTGAGTGTTGGGATGTAAACCAACCGGTAAACAGAGAGCTTTGCGATATGGCTCAGCTCCCTCTTCACCACTACAGTCTGGTACAGTGACCACATTACTGCTACCGCCTGTCCCAGCCTGCGGTCGATCTCACGATCCCTCTTCCCATCACTCGTGAACAAGACCCTGAGACACTTGAACTCCTCTACTTGGGGCGGGTCCTTTCCCCTTACCTAGCGTGGGCATGCCATCCTTTTCCTGGCTAGGACCATGGACTCAGACTTGGAGGTGCTGATCCACATACCAACTGTTTCACACTCAGCTGAAAACCACTCCAGTGAGCACTGGACACATTCATGCGATCCAGCTAAAAGAACAACATCATCTGCAAATAGCAGAGACGCCACTCTCTGGCCTTAACACACTAATGCCCTCCTGACCTCGGCTACGCCTTGACGCCCTGTCCATGAATATCGCAAATAGGAGTTGAGACAAGACACAACCTTGGCGGAGTCCAGTGCTAACACTGAACGAGCTTGACTTAATGCCGAGTATACGAACACAACTCTCAGACTGGAAGTACAGAGATTGAATGGCCCGGAGTAGCAGTCCCAGCACCCCATGCTCCCGGAGGACCTCCATAAGATATCTCGGGGAACACAGTTGTAAACCTTCTCCAAGTCCACAAGACACATGTAGACTGGGTTGGCAAACTCCCATGCCCCCTCAACAATCTGTGAGAGGGTGAAAAGCTGGTCCATTGTTCCACGGCCGGGACGGAATCCGCATTGTTCCTTACACCTCAGATTGAGTACAGAAACTGAGCTGTAAAAAATGCCCATTTCATGACACTTTTACATATAAATGCCTATTAAGCATACAGCAGTTTAGCCCCGCCCATTCACACTGAAGTTATAAGTAGTGTTTCAGCCTGGACAAGGCAGAATACAAGTGTGAGTGTCCTTTATTTAAGTCCTTACGTGGACACTCCTAGAGATGTTACACTCGATACTGTCAACACTTCGTGTTGCAAATTGTATCGATACAATGACTCGGTGCCTTGCTTCAAATGCTGGAGCCACAGGATAACAGCCAATAAAGCTTCACTACGTCACTGAAACCGACTGAAACACTCCGGGCTTCTTCCATAGGGGTTAAACTGGTGAACCCCAAATGGTTTCTGTTGATTTCAGTTGTCATTTTTCAAATAATTTATACCTTATTCCTGCATTCATTGTACACTGATCCATAAATAAAAAGATATCCATAATTGGCCTATGTTTGTGTCTGAACCCATTCACGCCCACTTACCCAGAGGAAGTTCAAAAGCGTGTGAAAAAAATCCCAAACTCGAGGGTTTCCTCGAGAGACACGTACACAGACAGACAACATCACAGATATTGTTCCATTAATTAAATAGGTTGGCTCAAGAAAGAGACCCGGGTCTCAAGTGTGGGATTACATTCATTTAGCCAGCCAAAATAAAGTGAGATGTATGATATGTGACCAAAACGTAATGTAATGTACGATTTTCTTTGTCCATAGTTAATACAAGATGGAAAATCATATGTCAGTGATATATTTATTTAATGTTCAAAATATCAAATTATCACATTTGCATTGTAATAAAGGTTTATTTGGAATGGAAATAAATGACAATCAGTAGGAAACAGACGTCGTAGGAAATCGAACTGGACAGTAGATGGCAGCATGGAGCCAGGTGTCAAATGCTTCAAAACACACCCATTGTCCAATACAATTGGTTCAGCTGTATCGATGCTTCGAAAAGCTTCGGAACAGCCATCACTAAATACTCCAAACGACAGGCAGGTAGATAAATAACATGGGGACCCATAGAGAACAAATGAGAACACAAAACACAGTAACAAAGGGGACTACTAAGAACATGAACTGACTAGGAAAACTATAAAACACAAAAGCTAAACTTACACAAAGAAACCACAAGCAGGGAGCCAGGACCACTACAATGACTATTAAAGCCAGGAACATGCTACAGTACTGGCTCAAGGAACAAAGGCAACACAGAGGTATATATACCGTGTGTCTCAATTCAGGGGTCTGCGTCCTTCAGAGGCTGCATTTGAAGGCCAATTGCATCACAGTGGCACAACTAGACTGTCCCATTTCGAAGGTTCCTTCATATGCGGCCGAGAAATGTGTCCTTCTTTTCCATGGCAACAAGGGATCCAATGGGTACATCCTTCGCCAGCCAACATATCCTGAGGTTCACTGTGTGCCGGTGAAGATTTGAGAACATGGCGGCATCAACGGAGGAGCGAACAGTGGCTGAAGAGTACACTCTTACATATAAGTTAAACATATATAAACGTAAGTATTGGGTTTAAACTGAGGCAAATGGCTAGCGATACAAATGTAAAAAAAAAAAAATCACATCAGTAGCCAGCAATAAAGCATCTCCACCTCTAAAAAATGAAAAAATAAACAATTAAAATCAAAGTTTCTGGCTCCATCTTTAAAGAACCTTAAAAGAACTTGACAAGTGACTGTGTTTTGTGGCGCAACGGTCAGGGCAGGAACTGTGACGCAAACAGAAAATCCGCCGTAGGGCAGACTGTCTCATTTCGGTTCATCCTTCGCGGGTCTAAGCAGCCTTTGAAGGACACGTCTTCATAGACCGTGTCCTTCAAAGGATCCAGCCCCTGAATTGGGACACACTGCTCCTAACACAGAAAGTAAGGAACACCTGAGACTAATGAGAGGGTGGACCTAAGAAATAAGGAACAGGTGCAGGCTGAAGTCAGGGCAGGACAGGAAGCTAACACAACAACAAAAGCACATGGCACTAGAAAACAAAGGCGCATGGTAGATGTAAATAAAAGCACATGACAGAGAAACCAGGAAACAAAGGCACATGGCAAGAAGAAAGGCAGAAGCAGAGAAAGACAGGGACAGAGAGTGACAGGATGTTACAAAGATATGTTCTCTTTAACTTACATTAAACGCTGTTATTCATTGTCCTAGGAAACTATAGTTTCAGAGATTCAAGATTTTGTTACACAGCATTAAGTTGGAACCTAGGACCAAATGAGCTTGACAAACTCAAAAGGCTATTTAATACAAACATAATCATGAATATGGCTCTTTTACAATGTTGACATATACAGTGTTAGTCCCTCCATCAAACAAAGGTTAAATAATATTCTTGAACTTGAATATGGCATTTTCTGCCATTTTTGTGCACAATTTAGATTGTTTAACATTAAGGGGAAAACATAAAATAGAAAATAGAACTTAGGTGTGAAACAGCTATTAGGAATAGCCTCAGAATAAAGTGGCAGAGACATAAGGTAACGCTATTTGTTAAGAATATAGCCATCTTTCATTACTTATTTGCATTAATAATAGCAATAATAGATGATTTACAATAATATTAGTCTTCATTTATTTGCAATTATGAAACTAAAGACCACTCATACCACCCAAAACATTACTTCATATTCCAGACCCTCAATATTCTGACTTCATGTGGAAAACAACTCCAAAAAAACTGATACAGAATGGGGAAATGCAAATAAAACCAAAAAGCAGCGATATATAAAAACAAACATGCTTCTGTGATAGATATCAAAACATAGTCACAGAATTATTTTGAAAAATAGCTGTCAATAAATGCTGTCACTGCATCCACAAATGCAAGTTATGACTTTATATGCCCATTGGAAACCATATGTCAACAACATCCAGAAACACTGCCAACCTCTCTGGGCTCAAACTCATCTGAAATGCACTGATGCACAGTGGAAACATGTATTGTGGTGTGACAAGTCAAGAGTTCAGATTATGTTTATGTAAATAATGGATGTTGTGTTTTCTGGGAAGAAGGAAAGAACCATCCAGATTGTTATCAGCATAAAGTTCAAAGGCAAGGTCTTTTTCTGTTGTGATATGAAGGGGGTGTTAGTGACTAACTTGCACATCTGTGAAAGACATATTAATACTGAACACATTTTGGGGAAACATGCTGCCCTCTAGATCACTGAATACTAAATACACCCATATTCAGTAACTGTTTGGGAACTGAGGACAACAGTCCAGGGTCTCCGTTGTCATGTACTGCACTTCATAATGCACCACAAATTTTCAAAGGGAGACAGGTTTGGACTGCAGGCAGGCCAGTCTAGCACCTGCACTTACTGCGAAGCCACGCTACTGTAAAGCATGCAGAATATGGCTTGGCATTATCTTGCTGAAACAAACAGGGATGTCCATGAAGAAGACGTCATCTAGATGGCAGCATATGTTGCTCCAAAATATCTAACCCTCAGCATTCCTGGTGCCTTCACACATATACAGGTTTCCCAATAACACAACTCCTTACTACGACAGATGCTGGCTTTTGAACACTGTGTTGGTAAAAATTGGGATGGTCCTTTTCCTCTTTGACCAAGTAAACACGATATCCATTGTCAGACCACAACGCATGTTTCCAATTTGTGTCAGTCCCTCTCAGATGAGAAGTCGGCAGCATTTCTAGATGCTGTCGATAAATGACCTCTGCTTTAGGTAGTAGAGTCTTAAATTGCATTTGTAGAAGCAGCAACAAACGGTGTTTATTGACAAGCGTTTTCTGACGTATTCTCAAGACCATGTGGTGATATTCATTACAGAAGCATGTCGGATTTTAAATTTAGTGCCGTTCGAGGAATTGAAGGTCATGGGGCATTCAGTAGTGGCTTAGGCCTTGGCCTTTACACTCAAAAATTCCTCTGGAGAAGTTGTTCTTAAACTGTTGGGCTATTCACTCACACAGTATTTTGCAAAGTGGAGATTGAACCTTTCGTGAATGCTCCTTTTATACCCAAACATGACAGCATTGCCTGTTACCTATTCTCCTGGTTACCTGTGGAAAGTTCCAAAACATCTCTAGGGTCACAATACCCCATCCCAACTTTCTTGGAATATGTTGCAGGCATCAAATTTGAAATTAGCGTATACTTACAAAAATCAACAAATATTACATCTCTGTGCTGTTTTCAATTAAATACCTGTAAAAGACAGTTTACACATCACTGACTTTTTGGGGGTCTTTTGCATTTTCCCTACTCTCCCAACTTTTGTCCCTAGTCTTGTGAATCTAAATCACACAGTTTGATTTGAGAGCCTATCCCTACCAGTCCAAACCCAGCATAAACAGGCTCAGTAAACTTGGTCTGGACCTTGTGAATGAGGCTTGTGTTGTCTGAGACATTGTAGAAGGCTAATACGCCAGCACCGTGATCCAGATACACTCCTATTGTGGAACCATGCAACGAGCTGCTGATGTATGTTTCCTTATTACCATGCCAGAATGCATAGTAGGACCCATATTTGCGCAAGGCCCATGAGCTTTGGCATCTTCCAAAAAGAGGAGCATGCTTTCCAGTCCTGCGTATCCCTTTGTAGGAGACGGCAATGGACACCCACCTTCCTTTGGTACCACATTTCACCTCCCAGTATCGCGGAGACCCCCTCAGACCCTCTTGGCATAATGCCTGTAACCTTCTCTCGAACCTTTGAGAATGGAAAGGGTAGTACTCTGACTCGCGGACAGCTGTCAGCAGCATGTTATCCAAACTCAGACGGATGTTGTCATGTACTGTGTTTGGGTCCAGAGTAAGCTTGGATGCGTCTGTGGTGGAAGAAACAAGGCTGTTACCAGGGAAGCGTAACTGATTGAAATGACAATCGACCAAGAGTGTGTCAGTATGGGCAATAATGGAACTGTCCCCTAAAGCCTGTAGTTGGAGGGATCTAATCTTAATCTTAATCTAATCTAAATTTGTTTTGGAGTACAAAACTTACATTTCCAAACAATTCGTGTCATGATTAATATCCCTCCTCACTCACTGCTTGTTGGATCACAAAAGTCTGCACCTGGATCTGGATTTCAAGTTAGCTAGTATGAACCTTCACCACGTTTGAATGTGGTAGTCTGCGCTTTTGCTAGATATGATTATAGATAATCTGTACAATCATTGCATTTCAAGGTAGCACACAACATAGAAACTAACATAGCAAGTCCACACGTTCACTAGATTTGAACATGCTAGTCTGCACCTTCACTAGATTTGAACATAGCTAGCTGGATTTTATTGTAGATAGTCTGTACCTGTATTGAATTTCAGGATAACTTGTTTTGAATTTAGAAACCAACGTAGCCACTCTTAGTCCATTCCTTTACAAGATTTGAACATGCTAGTCTGGACTTCAAGGCAGCTAATCTGCACCTTCTTTAGATTTAAATGCAGCTAGTCCACATTTTCACTTGATTTGAACATGCTAGTCCTCACCTAGCCCACATGTTCACTAGATTTGAACGTGCTCGTCTGCACCTTCGTTGGACATAGCTAGCTGGTATTTATTGTAGATGGTAGATCGACAGACCTGTATTGAATTTCAAGGTCACTAGTTTTGAACTTTGAACTAACATAGCAAGTCCACTGTTAGTCCATACCTTTACAAAATTTGAACATGCTAGTCTGGACTTCAAGGCAACTAATCTGCACCTTCTTTAGATTTAAATGCAGCTAGTCCACATTTTCACTTGATTTGAACATGCTAGTCCACACCTAGTCCACATATTCACTAGATTTGACTTTATTAGATTTGAACATAGCTAGCTGGAATTTATCGTAGACAGTAGATAGAGAGACCTGTAATGAATTTCAAGGTCGCTAGTTTTAAACTTAGAAACTAACGTAGCAAGTGCACACTTAATTTGAACATGCTAGACCACACCTAATCCACACATTCTCTAGATTTGAACATGCTAGTCTGCACCTGCATTAGATTTGAACATAGCTAGCTGGATTTTACTGTAGATAGTTCGTACCTGTTTTGAATTTCAAGGTCACTAGTTTTTGATGCTAGTCTCACTTGATTTGAACATGCTAGTCTGCACTTTCACTAGATTGGACATGCTAGTCTCAGGCTTTCACTGGATTTGAATGTAGCTAGTCAGTACCTTCACTAGAAGATAAGTAGTCTGAACTTTCACTAGCACCTTCACTGTAGCTTCATTAGGTTTCAATGTATCTAGTCCACACTTTCAGAAGATTTGAATGTACCTAGTCTGCACCTTTGTTCGATTTGAAAATAGGCAGTCTTCACCTTCGTTAGATTTGAAAGTAGGTACTCTGCACCTTCACTTAATTCAAGTGAAGCTAGTCCACATCTTCACTAGATTTGAAGAGGAATACTCTGCACTTTCATTAGATTTGAATGTAGCTAATCACAGTGACTGCAGCTGATAGATACATGCAAAAAAGAAAAGCAAAGTCGGGGAGGCAGACGATGAAGAAAGAAGAACTAAAGGGAGAGAAAATGTTGGAAGGTTAGAAAGTGAGCTTATAAATGATTCAAGACTTCTTAGCTAATAAGGGTTAATAGACTAGCACGCTGAGCATGGTAGCTTGCAGATATTAAGATAGATATTAACTGGTATTCTGGTTGCCAGGACATTTTCAGCTTCTGCCTCAGGATATATCGCTACCCAAACAAATCTTATGAGAGGCTGTGTTGCACATATAGTTGATGCAAATATTTTCAAACATTTTCAGGAAAAGAGAGCCCATAGAAACTGCATTTGCCTGGAGCCCAGACACACGTGGAGCACATGCCATGCATTTGACCTCTGTAAATAAAACATTCATCACTCAAAGAGAATGAAGCAAAGTAAGCGAAGGAAAACTTAAATAGCAACTCACATTTTAAGAGCTCCTGGCGTGTTCTTGGTAGTGGTGAAGATACAATACCAGTGTTTTTTACTTTGAAAAGAGAAGTGGAATTTTGTTAACGGAAACCTGTGGATAAACAATATTACACATTTCAGCTTTGAGACCGACTTACCTCTTTCGGAGATTGTGATGAATTGCCACTGGCAGTTTAAGTTCAGTTCTTTCAGAAGCTCTGAGACAGCATCAGTAGCAGGCTCAAATGAACAGTATGGGTGGACTAACAGAACAGGGATCTGGACGGCCTTTGTAAGTTGGGAGATGGAACACACACTCTGCAGAGAAAGGCAGACAGTTCAGTTCACTTACTTGATATAATTGTTTAAGTATTTAATACTGACATCTCTATTTTATAATGGACCAATGTTGGTGTCAATATGCTCACAACTCAAGGCTTTGCATCACTAAGGATGTGTATCTGTTACTGAGGAAAGGAACTAGACAAAAAAAGAAAATTTGCTAGAACATCAAAACTGGACATCTGAGATGTGACGTAAGATTTTATGGACAGATGAGTCTAAATTTGGAATTAACAGGCAGTTTGTGTTAGGGGCAGCACAGACTAGCCAACTAGTAGACTTGCCAACTGCTCGGCAATGATGCCAGTCACTAATTATGGGATTGACACTAACAGCATGGACGCCTCAGAGAAGACAACAAGTGAGGAGCCTGGTGATTTTGGGGCTCGTATCTCTGATTTCCTAGCAATGCGATCCAAGGGTTGTTGGACAGGTCACGTCATGCTCTACTGACCTGTGGAGTTCGCTGTGTTCTATAATTTCTCCACTGATCTACAGTGCTTCAAAGACCAGATAATGAACATCATTATCACCAGTTTCCCAAAGACTACAATAAAAAGTCACATGTCAGTGGAGAGGGAGTCGTCTGGCCCTCTGGAATCTTAGCAAGGCTGCCTACGGAGCGCCTAAGTCGGATATAAATTCGCAAAATTCCAGGGTCAGTATTTTTCTGAGGGCCAGCAATGCGATCCAGAACTCATTGGAAAGGGCATGTCACCATCTACTAACCTGTGGAGTTTGACTTTGTCAAGAGTTTTTAAAGTCAGATTTTTAAAGTTGCTTTTCGCAAAATATTCCCTTTTCCTTCTCATGGCGTCATCAAGTCGACTTTGACTTAAGTTTCAAAACATAAGTGTCCAATTATAAAAAATCTGAAGTCATGCAAACCTTAGTTTGTATGTTGCTGGAGCAATAAAAGACTCTGAACAATGTATATAGCAATCAGTCAATCATGGTGGAGGATTAATTGAATGTATAACAACAAAGTGCAATTCTGCATCATGCAAAAACTCTGCAAAATGAGAAGTGTAGAAATTCATTCTACAGCAAGATAATGACCCCAAGCACACTGCTGAGAGGATGTACTTATCAAACTAAGAAGCTGCTGGGGTTCTCAGAGCAATGGACTGTCCACTCCTCAAGATCTCAACCATTGAATGTGTTTGAGATTACTTGGCTCAAGGGAAGCAGAAACTTCTAAGACTGAACTTTGGAGGTGTGGAGAAACATCCTTGTAGATTTCTATGAAAAACTGTAAGTGAGATTCCTGAAGCTGTAACTGGGGCAAAGGGTGGACACACTAATTACGGAAAATTTGATATGTATTTACTTGTCTCTCTGTGTAATTTTCTGTTAAATATACATTTTTACTGACACAGAAATAACTCAAGTATAAGGTATCTGTGCCTAATAAACTAGCAACTCAGTGTATGATATCACTATTTTAAATCTTACTTCTAGAAATTGTATGTTGTTGTGCTCTTGAAAGAGCTGCTCCAGGTGCTGTAGTTCATCATGTCTCTTCTTCAGCTCAGTGATCTGCTGTTGAACGTTCTCTATGAGTTCTTCAACCTGCTTTATTACAGCCTCCTTTTGAGCCAATATCAGACCCTTCACTGCACACTGTCTCTTTTCCATGGAGTGTATTAGCTCAGTAAAGAGTCGGTCATTCTCTGCCACTGCCTCCTCTGCTGACATCTGTATGGACACAATACAAGACAAAAGCACATATTAACTCACAGAAGCACAATTTCAGCTGGATTAAATTTACTAGAGGGGGCTGTGTAATGTCATTTGGAAGGTATTTGACTGACCAATTTGTCCACGATAAAGTATCAGTGTAATTTCCCCAAATTACTACAGGTAGCCTGGGAGTACATGTCAGCGGTATGCAACAGATGCTAAACACTACAACAACAGCTCTGTCTATTAGCAGGTTTTGTTATTCCATTAGTGCTAAGTGAATAGGACTGCTAGTATTGAGGTAGATCCAAATGGAGTGAATTACACAAGACCATTCACTCTCCTGTTATTACTCTTAATATGTAAAAGCTACATATGTTGCAAATTCATACTGGATTAAAACCTTCCACAATGATTACTGACAGACTGTAAAAACTAAAAACACTGCAGATTAATACTGGATTAAAATCACTCCACTACTAAAACAACACACTTTGTAGATTCAAACGGGATTTAAACCACTCTACATTTATTACTGTCAGACTGTAGAAACTACACACTGCAGATTCATACTGAATTAAATTCATTCTACAATCATGACTCTAAAAATGTAAAGACTACACAATTAGTAGATTCATACTGGATTAAAATCACTCCACAATTAAAACTAGACACTTTGCAAATTCATACTAGATTAAAGTCATTCCACAATGAAAACTACACACAATATAGATTCATACTGGATTTAAAACACTCCACAATTTAAAACTTCACACCTGCAGATTCATACTAGATTAAAATCACTCCACAATTAAAACTCCACACACTGCAGATTCATACTGGATTAAAATCACTCCAGAATTAAAACTCCACACACTGCAGATTCATACTGGATTAAAATCACTCCAGAATTAAAACTCCACACACTGCAGGTTCATACTGGATTTAAATCAGTCCACAATTAAAACTCCACACACTGCAGATTTATACTGGATTAAAATCACTCCACAATTAAAACTCCACACACTGCAGATTCATACTGGATTAAAATCACTCCACAATTAAAACTCCACACTTTGCAAATTCATAATGGATTAAAATCATTCCACAATTATGACTATCAGGCTATAGAAAGTTACACACACTGCAAATCAGTTAAAACTAATCCAGCTTCAAAAGAGCTACAATCACCAGCATATTGAAATATCATCACAACAAATGAATTAAAGGAGTAATCCAATATTTTGCAACTTCATCTCTATCTACTGGATCTGTAGTAAACAGTCTGTTACCATGGATAATAATTTCAATTTGTACTTCTGTGTCAACATTTTTGTTCATGGTAACCAATCATATCCCACAGATGCAGCAGGTAGAGCTGAGGCTGAAAAATGTTGGCGTATTCCTTTAAACACTACATGAATACCTTGAAAGTCTCAACAGCTCGTCTCAACTCTTGCCATTTCATTTCCCGGGTCTGAATTCTCTCAGTCGTCTTCCTTTGCATTTTCTCCAGCTGAATCTGTGAAACATATGAGAGGATTACAACAAAGGTATAAGGCAATATTTTAGCCAGGCCTGGTGTCTGAATAAAATCACTGAGAGTGTAGCAGGAATAAATGCTTAACCAGCATGTGCTCATCAAAACATTTTTGATCATCAGGATCAAAAATGAAAAAGTCCATGAACTTTTTTTTTAACTTTTTACAGCCAAATTTGCATTTTATGGCCTGTTTGCATGGCATGATGCACATATCACAGCAACCAGCAGATCCTGCCCTCTTTATTCAGAGTGGGATACTGAGGTGTGACCAAGCATCTGGCTTTAAAAATGACCTAAAACCCACTCTGTAACCTGATATTAGATCTCTACTTTTAGGCCTTATATCACAACAGTTAGCACAGCGACGCGATACACATATTACTGTACCCTCTCCAGCCAGAGTAGTCTAAAACAAATCATTTGAATGTTTAGACTTTAGTAATCAGGAATCTACCACTAAATGATGAGTAAATACAAACAGACTTAGGGGGCAGATTTCAGTAACAGAGGCCTGTGTTCCAATAAGAAAGACTGGGTCCATTCCAATTCAACAGTTAGTAAACATCCAACTCTTCTGAAACATCAGAAAATCAAAAATAAAGCTTGTCTTGCCAGCTATCAGAGTTTTAGCTCTGAGCATGAATCTAAGAGGACGACAAATGTATAAAAACATTTCCGCCTTATGCTTATCATATATTTTTACTCAGTAAAAAGGAACAGATTAATCCACCATCAAAAAACCTTCATTTTTAGTGTAACATGGCTGTGACAAACCAAATGCTCGCGGATATAAAATGGAGAAAAGGTTTTAATCTTAAAAAGTGTAATGGTGGCCAGTGGTGGACAGTAACTAAGTAAATGTAATTGGTTACTGTACATAAGTAGTTTTTTCGTGTATCTGTTCTTTACTGAAGTATTTCCATTTTGGGTGACTTTTTACTTTCACTCCACTACATTTCAAAGTCAAATATCTTACATTTACTCCACTACATTATGAGAAATCTGTCCTTCCTTTTGGCTTATTTGTGTATAAAAACATAACATGTCAAAACAAAAGAAGCGCAAAGCAAGAACACCAATCAGGGCACAGCGCGCACTTTGTTTTGAGCTAGTTTTGACCTGTTGGTCATACCGACCCAGTGCAAGCATTCGGTTCAACATCAGTGCATCAGTGTAAAAATTTGGGAGAGTCTATTCAACATAAATAATGGAACTAAGCTAACTTTGTGTAAATAGACCACAATATAGAAATATGTACACATATGCAGTTGTGACTGACGTGTCTTTTTTCTGAATTTATACAAACACTTTCATTTTATAGTTTGTTTTGGCTAGTTTATGTTTATGAACAGAGACCTACAGATGCAATATGGTAAAGGAAAACTCATTTGGGAATCTGAGTTTAAAGCAAGTTTTTGTTAAACTTAAACTTAAACTTAATGTTGCAAATAAATCTTAAACCAAAACTTTGCTTGTTTGCAAAAGGTTATTTCAGAGCCACTCAGTTCTACCTAATGGAAACTGTTTACACATGGATGTGACGATACTTCGCAAGTAACCTAAGCTAGGTTCAGAGTCCAGAGTCATGTGATGCAGCAAGGAGTTCTGGGAATTGGAGTCCTTGGCGGCCCCATTGGTTCCAGCCAAGCCGGAGGGAGGCGTGACAAAAGGATAGTCCAAAGTCAAAGTACCACAATCAGGTCACGTCAAAAGTGAGAGTAGAATGGACAAAAACATAGTCGAATACGTAGTCAAAAGAACAGACTAGGGTCAAAAACCAAAACACAGCGAATCAGGCAGACTCAAACAAAAGGGAGATAAGGAGAAAACACAAAACGGGGCAAACTCTGTAAAGAAAACAGAAATGAAGGCCTGGTACGCTTACGAAAAACAACAGCAACACAGGTGAAAGAAATCAAAACTCAGGTGAGGTGCTTCTTGGATGATGGAGTGCATGTTACAATGACATGGTGGTCAAGGGAAAGAGCGGGAAGATGTCCTCACGTTAGGATAGGATCGTCACCATAGAAGAATGATCATATCACCCCTGTCCTTCAGAGGCTTCACTGGTTACTCATTACATTCCATGTTCAGTACAAGGTTCTCCCTATTACATACAAAACTTTGCATGGTCTGGCTCCTCAATATTTGGCTGAGCTGAGCTTCTTCATCTATTTGTCCTTTAAGATTGCAAAATGTAGGCCTTTTTCATGTTCCAAGTTTTAAATAGACCTCTATGGGTGGTCGATCATTCAGTGTAGTAGCTCCCAAATTTTGGAATACTCTCCTCTAGTTCTTTTGAGATGCCACCACTCCATCTTCATTCAAATCTCTGTTAAAGACCTACTTGTTTTCACTACGTTATCGCTGTTCCACTCATACTTGAATGTTCACCTGTATTGTCCTTTTGTTGTTAGTTGTTTAATGTGTTCATGTTCTTTGATTGTAAAGCATCCTTGAGGATGGGAAATGCACTATAAAAATAAAAGTAATGATGATGATGAGATTGTAAGTGTTAATTATTCTTTTGTGGAGATTTCCACAAGCAAAAGAAAAACATTAGTGGTGCTATGAAAGAGTGATAATTTGCATGAATAACACAGTGTAATAGTATGCAGGGGTGTAGCCAAGGGGTCACCCCTCTGGCTACTTAGTTAAACAAAGAAAGACAATCAGCAATCATCATTAAGGCAGTGCAATGGTGAAAATCTGCCATCAGGGTGGCTACCAATCAGTTATATTCTGATACTGCATTCAACGGTCAGTGTATGAAACAGACGAGTGAATGTTGCACAAGGCCTTAACATTATTCTTGTTTGTTTTGCTTAAGAAAGCAGCGAAAATTGGCTTTCTACACTAAGGAAACATCTAGTAACACTTTCTTTTAAGGTCTGCTTCTTAACTAAAGTTTTAGTTAGCAATTAATGATGCCCTGGTAAATAAAGCATCTGTAAACAAACAACTCAAGCTGGCAGTGAAGTGAGGGTCTGATGCTGTGGCATTTGGACACAAATTCATTGGTCCCTTTAAATGTTCCATACGGGGAGATTCCCACCAGGAACACACTGTGATTTTAAACACACACAGTCACAGTCACAAGCACTTCCCAAATACAGGTGGAAACATGTAGGCTAGCAAAGTCCATATATGCAACTTTACTCTGATTTTTTTGATTATCTTTCTAAAACAGACTGTAGAGACATTGAGTCGTACATTGTCGGCCACCTGCTTTTAGTTTCAGTACACAGTGTAGCAAAAATTTGAAAAGTTGCTGTAGTTTCAGTCTCTCAGCGTGTGGTACCTGGGGGTGCGGCCTGTTGCTTTGAATGGAAAAGCTTCATTCGAAGTTGTTCATAGACAGAGCTGTCTGTAGGGGCTGTCAAACCCAGCTAACAGATGATGAACCAGCAACATACTCTATTCATACTTTTTGGTCAGTTTGCGATTTATCAACTGGCGACATAGTGCCAATGCTACTTGCCGGTAGTTCCAGTCATAGCATGTTCCAGTCATAGAATGTCAGACGGATCAAGCATTTTCATACAGTGTGATTAAATGAATCATAGGCTTTGTATGCACATGATGATCTATTCCAGGGGTAGGCAACATGCGGCTCTTTTACTGCCCTGTTGCAGCCCCACAGCAGAATTAAAATAATTTGCAGTAAATAAAGCTCTGCTGACACAGTTTTAACAATAAATAATCTTAAACGCTGGAGTTAATGTAGGCTATAACTGCTAATTCACTCTTTAACCTTGAAGATTGGTGTGAAGACTGCTGGTCACAATAGTAACACAGATAACAATCTCGCCTAGCTGGTAGCTAATGACAAGGCAAAGTGAAAGATTTTAGATGAACATTGATAATTTGGAGACAAATGGACTTATTTGCATTTATAAGCACTCTAGCTGGTTTCCTGATACGTTTAATTTGCAACTAGAAACTGTCAAACACTGAAAAGTTGTGAAGCTGAAGTCAGTTTCTTGTTCACCAGCTTCGTGTTCCCATTCCAGCTGCTTCAGCCTCGTGAAAAGTCAAACGCTGAGAGACATTTTACAAGAAACTTTTCTTTTTTTGCAGAAATGTTTCCTGCCAGAGATGTGAGAAAAGCTGAGCTAAAGCTTAAAGCAGAGCAAAATAAGTCTGCATTTTTTTCATCTATATTACATTTTTTAGCGTACACTAGGACATTTAGTACATACTGAGACATATTTACAGCCAAAATGGTAAACTGGACATAAAATGTTGTGGCTCCCATGGTGGTTTGATTTTTGCTGAATGGACAAAATGGCTGGTTGCCGACCCCTGATCTATTCAAACATACAGTGTGAGTTGTCACAGAAGAATAAGATTTCTAAAATGGCACTTGTTGGATGCACAACAAGACATAAAACTGGAAATGTGAGCTTCTCGGACGCATTAGCCTGGGAATGTGATTCCTGCTGTCGCTGTGCTGTTGTTCAAAGAGACAGATGAGGAGCGGGGATCAAAACTATGAAACATATTTTACTTACAGCTGTACAGACACGCTTTTCTGGTGTAAAACAAAATCCACTCTTCTCCATTGCAGTGCTACTCAATTTAAGGTAATAAATGTAGCATAGCTAGCTAATGCACATCATTTAAAATCAGGTAGATTTAAATGATTGAACTACTAAGGTACATTGCGCTCATTTACACTAATTGTGAGTAGGTAACTCGGTAAGGTATCGGAATTGTTATCGGCAAGTACTTAAACGCATGTACTTGTACTCAGTCTGAAACAAAACGATACTGATGCATCATTAGACCTGACCATATATCGAGATTAAAAACATGATAGCATGTAAAAAGCTGCACAAACTGGCCACACTGAACCTGCACTACTCTGAGGGAATGTTTTAATGAGTTAAAAGCAGATAAAGCCAAAATCTCTGAATGTATCCTGGACTAAATGCCTCAGCGGATGTAAAGCAAGAAGCAAAAACTTCATACTTTCTTCTCAGCCACCTCGACCTCAATGGAGATGACATCATGAGTCCTGTGTGTATCAGTGATGCACAGGTGACAGATACACCGCTGATCCGTGCGGCAGAAGACCTCCAGCAGTTTTCCGTGCTCGGGGCAGGTTCTCTCCTGCAGCCTCTCCGTCGCCTCCACCAGCTTATGTCTCTTCCCAGCGTGCAGAGTGTTGTGCAGATCCAGATGTGCTTCACAATACGAAGCCACACACTCCAAACAGGACTGCTCGGCTTTACGCTTCCTTCCAACACACGCATCACACTCCACGTCTGGGGGTCCAGCGGTGCTGAAATCTGGACACTGGCTACCAGGCTCTTCACCCATTTCTTCCATACTGGAGGATAAAGGAGAGGCTGGCAGCACCAAAGCAGGATGGCACTGGTTAGTTTCGTTTCTGCTGAAACTGTGGTGCCTCCAAATATTGTCTTCTAGGGAGGGTGTGGAGAGACAGTGACTCAGAGTCATGCTATTCCCTTCCCCTCTGTAACAACCACAAGCAGCAGCACTACAAATAAAGGAACAATGTGTGTTGTAATTCTTGGAATGAATATCACAGTTCCACAAGCTTGCAAAAGTGGAGGGAATTTGGTTGGAAATTCTGAATGGAAGTTCTGAATGAGGTGTTGGGATGCACAGCTTCAAAGAGGAGCACCACACTGTACCTGGGCAGTATTGGACAGATCCCAGGCCATCACTAGAAACTGGCTCAACCCCCCCCCAACAAACATTTCAGAGGTTTGATGCTTTACAGGAGATATTTCAGATGGGAAAAAATGAATTTGTTTCAAGAAAAAAATAACTAGTTTAAGGAAAATCACAGAAATTGCCCTATCCGAGTGGGATTGGCATTACCTGGGGACGTGCTGTAATTTAAGTGATTTCTAATGACCTCTGTGATTTTACTCCAGCATGAATCTGCCATGTCTGAAGTTAATAGTAATAGTAAACCTGCTCGAATTGATATCTCAGTAATGTAATAACAAAATAATAGAAAATGGACTGAAGTTGGGCTGAAGAAGTTGGCGTCCTCTTCGCCAGGACTGGATTGCATCAGGTTTGCATAAGTTTATACTTGCTAAAGTCAAGACAAGATTTGGAAGACCAAGAAAAATCACTGCTCATAGACTGGGCAGGCATGCAAAGCAAAACCCCCACATCACTGCTCTGGACTGGCTTTTGCGTAAGTTTATACTGAAGTTTGTGCGTAAAGTCCTTAGTTTACACTACTTAGGTTCAAACTATCCTTTAAGTTTTGGAAGTTAGGTTAGTGTGCGGAATACTAAAGATACAAACTGATGACACAGATGTAAGATTTTTTCTTACTTCTTTAACAGTATTGGGCACAATATGTTCAATTGAAATGCATTTTGGTTACTAGGCAGACTCCAACCAATCATTGCAGCTTATATGGCTCTGCAATAACTACAGAAAAGCAAAAAGTGGCAAAGTACTATATGGAATACAGTAAATTTTATTCAAAGATTTTACTAAAAATCTTTGAAATATATACTTTGCATGCGTGTTGGACCCCTCAAAAAAATATACAGGGTGTCCCAAAAATATTGACATCATTTGAGATGTGAATATTTGAGTAACTACATGTCCTGGCAAACAAAATTAAATAGGCTTCATGTTGAACAGTACAAGATTTATTTATCAAAATTTGAACAAGAAATTCAGAGGGATGTAGATTTTATAACCCAATTCACAGCTTCACAAATGTAATATCTTCTGATACTGGTGGTCATCCAGACCCCTTTGCCCTGCACAGACAGCCTTCCTCTTTGAATTTTTTGTGCATGTTCAAATCTGCTTTCCAGTTGGTGCATTTTTATTGAATTGTCTCGAAAATACACACTGCAATTAAAATTTGAGATCATTTGAGGGAGAATTGGCTGTTTTTAGACTACCAAATGATGTCAATTTTTTTGGGACACGCTGTATTTTATTTTTCTTCATTTTCTTTGTCTTTTTGGAAAACCAAAAGCCTGTAATAGCTGTCTTTAAATAACCATTACAATGGATTACTCAAAAAACAGAGGTGGCTTGTCAGATGTGGAAGACAACAAGCTAAAAGCTAAAGCTAGCAAGATAGTTAACTATCCAGATAATTTACCTCAGTTTGGCCAGTTTGGCACCTTTTCTTTGGCTGAAAGGGTAGAAAACGTGTCTCTGGTGTCCATTTTGTGTTGAACAAAGATAGAATCGCTGTTTACTTTGTCATTTTGTTTAACAACTGACTCTAATGCTTGCTTGGTTGTGTTTATTAGCCTATAGACCAGTGGCTAAGCTAGCAGGATTGGTTGACACCAGAGGGATTCCCAACAGTTGTATGATGTATTTGCATGATGCATGCTGGGTATTGTAGTGAAGGAACACTGATGAGTGAAAATATGAACAAAAGAGACTGCTACACTACACAACACTGCATAACAAATGACAAAATGACAAAAAATGACAAAAAATTTATTAACCTCTAGTTTTAGGCTCAAAAGCCCCTCAGACACTTACAGTAATCACAAACTAAATATGAATGTTCATGTTCATGTTCAAGCAATCAGAATGAGTTTATCTGCACAAAAATTACCTACATTTTTATTCATGTCATGAAGTCAAACATTTTAATCTTTATTTACACTGATTACAAATCAGAGAAACTGTTTTTACAGAAACAATTGTCTACTGATTGAACAGCTCCAGGTTACAGTCACAGCCTGCACTACTGACTTCAGTATTACATTCTGTGTAATAACATCACACTATAAAGATATTGTTCTTATCTTGGGATAATTTCCAGCACTCTAATTCGACTGGGATCCCAAACACAGTCCTCTTCCAGTCCGCTGGGGACCATGCCGCAGTTAGGTGGGACCCAGGCTGTGTCATAACCGTTACAGTGCCAGGTTTTCTGTAAGGGGTGTCCCTGCCTGTTGATTTTCTTCACTTTACCCACACGTACACTCAGCTTGAGGACAGCCAGTCTTTGCCCAGGTGGTTTGTACAGAGGGTAGTGGCTGGCTTTATGAAAGCTCCGTGACACGTAGACACCAGCACCTAACATGCCGCCTGTGGAGCGCCTGAAACCGTAGCGCTTGATCTTTACTGCAGCAGACATGGTGGTGCCATGAAACATGGTATATACCCTCTGACCTGGGTAGACAGGGCATGGGGTCAGTCCAATGTGGTAGTTCCTGCACATATCTGCATGTGGATGAAGAGACAAGAAGTTAATATCATAAAATAGCACAGAAAACAAGACATAAAATAATCCTGAATTTGCTTTACACCATGAAAGTTCCAATGAACTGTACATTTACAGCAGGAATCCTGCAGTATTGTCAAAATACAGAAGATTACTGTAATGTTAGATTGTACAGTAATTATCTGTTATTTGCAAAGATTATTGGAAAAATTAACTTATGCAGCCTTGAGTAGCCCATCTCTGGATATTGTAGCACTGGGGGTAGAGCTTCCCATACCCACTTAAGAAACTTTAAAAATATATGTGCAATATATGTGATGTTTTAAAATGTATGTGCTAAATATATTTCACTGTGCTATATATATATATATATGTTAATATATCCCATTTGGGTCAATATATTAAAATATGTGCACATATGTAAATGTAATAGTACTATGTAATAGTGTCAGTTTTTATTATTTACATATGTGAAACATAAATGATAGTGTATTACAAACTTGCATACATATTTTGAAAAACAACTTTCATGGCAAAACACAATATAGACCACTTTGAAAAACTGTCTTTTTTCCATGATATACATTGTTGGGGGTGGGCTTCACACATACAGGGAATATTAATGCCACATTATGATTAATCCAACTTTTATTAGAGGAATAAAAAAAGTTTGACGTTATATGCTTGTTGTTATTCTTTTCAAAAACGTATTGTATGCTAAATTGGACATACAGCATTTTCAAATGAAATTCTTCATATGGAAAATTCCTTTACATATGGGAGCAATTTTTTAAAAATTCAGCATCATTTTATTGTTCAAATGTAAATGAAGTCCTTCAGAGTGGTTTGATGTGAAATGGATCATTGTAGAAAAACTTACAGACTGATTTCTTTACAGTGGTGGTGATAGGAACCAGGAGGTGTGATGTCTACAATGCAAATACATACATACATACATACATCATCTAAACCGCTTATCCTTCTGGGTCGCGGTGGGATGCTGGAGCCTATCCCAGCTGTCATTGGGCAGAAGGCAGGATACACCCTGGACAGGTTGCCAGCCCATCACAGGGCAGACAGACAGACATACACATTCACACACTCACACCTAGGGGCAATTTCAGCATGTCCAATCAGCCTGACTGCATGTTTTTGGAATGTGGGAGGAAACCGGAGTACCCGGAGGAAACCCACGCAGACACGGGGAGAACATACAAACTCCACAATGCAAATATAGCCATTTTATTTACAATCCAAAATGTATATACTTCATATATACAACAATGGTCTTAAGGTCCTGTTGTGTACCTTAATTCATAAGTGAGTGTTTTAAAAATAGAAAAATAAAAAGCCTGGAGTCAAGACAGGCGAATGGAGTCAGTTCCATACAATGGAATGTTGTATAATTATGTTCCTTAACTAAACGCATTGAGGACTTACTCTTGAGGATACCACCACAGTGACCGTTTGGTATCTTTTTTTCCTGAAAGTGTCCTCCACCTGCTGCAGTCTGATCAGATGACTTAGATCAGTGAATCTAAAAAAAACACAAAACAGAAAGTGAGATAGTGAGACTGACACATCTAGCCAAAGGGTATTATCTGTATTAGACTACAGATTACATTTCCCCTTTCTTAGCCTTATACAGCCATATACCTTTATATTATATATGAAAAAAAAACCATTTTGCACATTAAAAAAAAAACATGGCTCGGCACCTTTTGCACAGTACTGTACATCAGAATGATCCTCTAATATGAATGACAGTTGTTAAACACTAATACTTCACAAATACCAAACCTCTCTTTTACCCTATGGCCTATGTGTACAATTGCATCTCATACTGTAGAAGCAGATATCGTCTAAGCAGATTTGTCAAAGTAAAAAAGTAAAAAATATTAAAAAAAAATGCAGAATTTTACTTTTTCAATTATTTTATAGCTATTTTTCTTAGAAATAAAAAAAAAGTTGTATGTGTATTATTATGTGTATTATTGGTTTTCTAATTGAAAATAAGGAATAAACATGATTTTTGTCTGCAAATTTCAGTGCACAATTTATATTTATTTGCTATTTATATTTATTTATTTAAATGTTGGAAAATAAAAACATAAAACAAAAAATAAAATATGCCATAACTTGTGCACAAACCTAATCTTATGTTTTTATTCTAATATGTTAAATTCAACAAGTGCAGTAGTGCATTCTCTATAGAAGACTTGTTAACTTGTTTTCACAAAATCAACTAAATGTAATAAGAAAAGCAGATCAATTATAAATGACTGCCCAACACAATCAACACTCTTTCCAAAGCATTTCTGATGTATAAAGAAACAGCTGAGAGAAGGAGTCCTTTACCTTACCTTCAGGAAAACAGATCACCTGCAGAAGAAGCACAGCTTCCTTTAGGTTGCAGGTTTGCTTTATATATTGGTCTCAGCCCCATTCAGTGGTAACTTGTGTCAATAACACCTTCTTGCGTTCACGCTTCAGTAGAACTAAGACAACCAGTCGTTTAACATTTTTGGAAGATGATCTGCATTTCTTGGATGTACTGTTAACTTTCCTTAGAAAATACAAAGAAAGTAAAAGTAAAACTATCCTAGTGCCTCAGACTGAAGTCTCTGATGTACTGAATGAGGAGTACATTTTGCACACTATATATATATATATATATATATATATATATAAAACAACATATATTTGCTCCCGACGGAACAAAACCTCGTATCTCCGCTTTTGTCATTTTTCAGTTTTTGTTTTCACATTTCACCTTGTGTCAAAATTTCATGATGAATGGACCAAAAGAAATGGCCCAAAATTACTTGGAAAATGTCTGGTTCCATTGACTTACATTAAAAGTAAAGTATGTTTTTTCCTTCTCCTGTAAAGTTACCATTTTGGGAGATAAGAGGTTTTGTTCTGACAACAGCGATATATGTTAACATATATATGTGTGTGTATATACAGGAAGATTCACTCGAAAGAGACCCCGAATATTGTATAATAACTCTCACTAGGACGAAGCAATCTGAACAGAACAATGTGCAATGTGATCCTCAGTATATGGAGCGTCAAACAAGCTGGGATGCCCCTGCATTGGAGTGGTGAGGTAGGCGCTAGACAGCCGTCGCAACGTTTAACCTCTGTTTGCAACTTCCAGGTGCATACCCACGTACCCCTTCATGTGTCTGAGAGAAAACGGAGATCACTTCCAGCATCGCATGTAATACAATAGATTATACACACGTCAAGGTATGTAGCGTATTTTTTTTGGTTCAGATTGCTTCATCCTAACGGGAGATACAACAGAATATTCGGGGCCTCTTTCAAGTGAATCTCCCTGTATAGATAGATAGATAGATAGATAGATAGATAGATAGATAGAAACTTACTAACTTTTTAAGTGAAACCAAGCAATTTATTGAAACGAACTACAGCAGTGAGTAGCATGTGGTGGGCTTCACATGCTTGAGAAAGCTTTGAAAGCTTTGAAACCCAACAGTCCACAGTGTACTCCACTGCCATGGTCTCCATTCTCAATCACCCCAGAAGACTCGGTTACTGCATGTTGGCATGGTGAAGCTCATTTGAAGTTTGCTGCAGAACATCTGGAGAAGCCTGTAGAATACTAGGAGAATGTAGTTTGTTAGACGAGACAAAAATCTAACTTTTCAGCAACGATACAACATGCCATGTATGGACGAGAAATGGCTCTTATATGACCCTAAAAACACCATGTCTACAGTGAGGTTTGGAGGTGGAAGCATCATTATGTGTGGCTGTTTATCTTCTCATGGGTACTTGTGGAATCCATATTATCCAAGGGCAGACGAGTGGAGCCATGTACCGGGAAATTCTTTAGAAGAATCTGTTGCCATTCACAAAACAGTGAGGACGAGACATGGGTCGACTTTCCAGCAGGACAGCATTCCGAAACATTCTGCAAAAGGTTTGTTCCGTGAGAAGAAAATTAAGGTGTTGATGATGAGCAAATCCTTTAAACCCTATATTTAATTATATTATATTTAATTTAATTGAATAGTACAAAGATAACATATCAAATGTTGAAGCTTAGAAATTTCATTGTTTTTTGAAAAATATTTGCCCATTTTGAATTTGGAACACATTCCAAAAAGTTGGCACAGGGGGCAACAAAAGGCTGGTAAAGTTGTGTAATGCAAAAAAAAAAAAAACACCTGGTAGTTAATTGGCAACAGATCAGTAACATGATTGGGTATAAAAACCATCCTAGAGAGGCTGAGTCTTTCAGAAGTAAAGATGAGGAGGAGTTCACCACTCTGAAAGACTGCATAAGCAAATGCAACAATTCAAGAATAACGTTTCTCAACATAAAATAGCAAAGAACGTTTGCTTTTGATCATCTACGGTACATAATATTATTAAAAGATTCAGAGAATCTGGAGGAATCTCTGTATGCAAGGGACAAGGCCAAAAAACAGTATTTGCCGGCCATGATCTTTGGGCCCTCAGACAGCACTGCCTTAAAAACAGACATCATTCGGTAGTGGAAATCCTTGCATGAGCTCAGGAATACTTCTAAAACCCACTGGCTGTAAACACAGTTCCTTGCTGCATCTACAAATGCAAGTTTAAACTCTAAAACACCAACAAGAAATCGTATATAAACAGGATCCAGAAACACTGCCACCTTCTCTGGGCCTGAGCTCATTTAAAATGGACTGAGGGGAAGTGGAAAAGTGTCCTGTGGCCCGACGAATCAACATTTGAAATTCTTTTTGGAAATCATGGACACTGTGTCCTCCAGGCTAAAGACCACTCACCTTGTTATCAGTGTACAGTTCAAAAGCCAGTATTCATGATGGTATATGAGTGCATTACTGCACAAGGCATGGGTGACGTGCACATCTGTGAAGGCACCATTAATGCTGAACGATATATACATGTTTTGGCAACATATGCTGCCCTCCACTCTTTTTTCAGGGAAGGCCTTGATTGACAATGTCAAACCATAATTTGCATGTATTACAACAGTATTGCTCCATATTAAAAGTGTCCAGGTGATAAACTGACCTGCCTGCAGTCCAGATCTGTCTCCGCTGAAAACATTTGGGGCATTATGAAATGAAAAATATGACAAAAGAGACCCCGGACTGTTGAGCAGCTGAAATCATGTATCAAAAAAGAATGGGAAACATTTCTCTTTCAAAACTACAGCAGTCGGTCTCCTCAGTTCCCAAACTCTTACAGAGTGTTGATAAATGAAGGGGTGACGAAACACAGTGGTAAACACTCCCCCGTCCCAACTTTTTTGGAATGTGTTTTCGGCATCAAATTCAAAATGGTCATATATTTTTCCAAAAACAATCAAATTTTTCAGTTTCAACATCTGAAATGTTGTCTTCGTAGTATTTTACTTTAAAAATATGGTTTACATGATCTGCATATCATTGCATTCTATTTTTATTCACATTCTGCACAGCGTATTAGGGCAAATTACACATGTTCGAATCTCTTTTTGTCCGTTAATTTATATTACATCACAAAACTATGACAATTCAATATTTTCTGTGTTGCTGGGCCAGATTGTCCTGGACTCATTATACTGTTATAAATAAAGGTTCTGTGCAGGTACATTTTTTGTCCACCGAGGTACCAACAACGTAAATGTGCCCTCAAAGGTATAACAGTGGTTTTAAGGTCCAACCGTGCACCAAGTTCACCAAATTTTTCCCAGTGGAAAAGTACAAATTTGTATCTTTTCATAACCTAATGATTTAAAACAGAACTGTAAAATAAAAAGCCTGGAGACGAGACGGGGTGTGTGGAGTCAGTACAGCTTAGAAAATATAATTTCAATGGATTATGGTACAATTATGTTCCCTGACTAAAGGTACTGAGATGTACCCTTGAGGGTCCCACCCCAGTGACAAGAGGGGAACTGCCCCAGTGACAGTTTCATACCTTTATTTCTGAGAGTGTAGAATTAACATTTTAAACCAACATTATTCATATGTTAGATATTTATGAAAAATATGTACCAGTTGTCTATTGGACAGTGATGTCAGAGACAGTGACAGGCCATTCATTTCCTTAATAACTAATGAAGAAAACAGTGCAGAGCTGCCGGAACACACGTAATATGTTTTCTTCTTTCTTTCTTCCTTCTATGGAAGTACTAGAAAAGTCAGTGATATTCTGCTGTGAATTGCATAAGCATACCTTTTCATGAAACTAAGATGACCAGTTATTCAACATTTTTGTCTAATGATCTGCTGTTTTTTCACAGAAAAGAAAAGTGAAAGAAAGGTACTGAGATGTACCCTTGAGGGTACCACCGCAGTGACAAGAGGGGTACTGCCCTTAGTGATAGTTTCATTCCTTTATTTCTGAGAGTTTATGGCATATATAACACCTTATAATGCCTGACATAAGCTTGCAAAATTGCCTATAAGCAGTTACAATGATTATATAACGCTTGTTCAGACTGACAGCCCAAATCTGGTTTCTGCCATATTCAGACTGTATCCGGATTGATTTTTGATAGTCTGGACAGCAAAAAAACACATGAAATCCGATTTTTGCAAATCGGATCCAAACCACATTTGGAGGTGGTTTGAAATTTGATTCCAAATGGATTTTTTCAGACGCGTCTCAGCCTGGACACTTTGTTCACTCAAATTGGACTTCACAGTGTCTTTTGCATCATTTGCAATGTGAAAAACAGCAACAGTGTCAAATCCTATGTCGTTTGCCACAGCAACCCATGCAGATAGGTTGGTGATGTCTGGACACACAAATTCAAAAAACAGTGCAAACACAAATCTCAAAAGTTCTGATTTGTGAAACAAAAACAATTTGCATGCAGTCTGAGCGTAGGCTAAGAAACATGAAGAAAACCAATATACAACAGACAAAACCACAAAACAAGGCCTGAGAAACAAAACCCTAAACAAACACAAGACAAACAACCAGTGGTATAAACACACAGGAAACAAATGAGAAACACCTGGGGCTAATGAGAGGTTCTACAGACTACACACAGGTGAGACAGATGACAAGGAGGCAGGATGGGGCAAGAGACACAGACCAAAACAACAACAAAAGCACATAGCAAGACACACAAGGGAAGGTTAACAAAGGCAGACAGAAACAAAGAAAGATGAGTGCAGGGCAAGGCAGGATGTTACAAAAACTTCATAGTTTCAGGTTTGTTAGGGTATGTCAGGGTCCATAACATATAATATCTGTTCATAAGATCATTGTAAACATGAATGTTGTTTTTCATTATATCACACTATAACAGGCTTCTGGTGTATGTTCTGCAGACCCACACAGGTAAATGTTTATAGGGTATAATCACTTCTGTCCCCAACAGCTATGGGAGACATGGGAGAAGACTCTGAGAGTGAGAGTATAAGGATTGATTTTTGGTGGCACTGATTAGTGTTGTAGTACTTGAGTCCAGTCTCGGTCTCGAGATCAGTCTTAAGACTATAAATGAGCAGTCTTGGTCTCATTTCAGTCTTGACCTCACTAGGACTCAGTCTTGTCTCAGCCTCAAGGTGAGGTGGACTTTTTGTAGAGACCAGCGGAGTCTGATGCCTCCATCTGAGGAAACTGAGCTGAATTATTATTAAATGTTAATGAAAGCAGAATAAACAGAATAAAATAGTCCTTTCTCTATGTACTAAACTCTCTTCAGCTGTGTCGCTGTTACGCACGTGCAGGTACTGTTGCCTTGCCGAAATGTCCTACTGTACAGTGCATTTATAGATAGAGCTCTACATAAACCTGTAGGTATCTAAGCTATCTGCTAATCTGCTAATATGTCATAATATGTCACCTCCTGCTTTGCAGAACTCCACGTACTCTCAGTACCATGTACTGCCTGTGTTCTGTTTTGTATATATTGTAAGTTTTTCATATTTAATATTGTACTGTACTGTCTGCACTGTGTATATTGTATTGTCTCACACTTCTGTGTTGCACCATGGTGCTGGAGGAATGTTGTTTTGTTTCACTTTGTACTTGCATATAGCCAAAATGACAATAAAGCCTCTTGAATTTGAACTAAAGCTTCTTGTTCAAATTTCCCCGCTCCACCTTAAATGTTGCAGCAGTTACATTCTGGCTCCTCAGGCCACTGAGGCACTCAGGCACCATTTAAGGTGGAACTCCTTATCAGAAACTACTAGCATCAAAAGAATAGTTATGTTACTGAGAGCTGTAGTTTACTGTTCATATTGCATGGTTTACAAATTTGTTGATAGAATATCATTAATTGTAGTTAATCTTTGGTGATTGTCTGCTATATTTTTAGCTATTTTAGCTATTTTATGTGGGCGTGTAATATCATTAACTTCTCCCTACAACAGTCATTGTTGCTGTAATACGCAGTATATGTATTATTATTATACATAATATCACCTCACAGCAAGAAGGGCCTGGGTTCGATTCCCCAGTCGGGCGACCAGGGTCCTTTCTTTGTGGAGTCTGCATGTTCTTCCCTTGTCTGCATGGGTTTCCTCCCACAGTACAAAGACATGCAGTCAGGCCAGTTGGACACGCTAAATTGCCCCTAGGTGTGAGTGTGTGTGTGAATGTTTATGTCTGTCTGTCTGCCCTGTGATGGACTGGTGACATGTCTAGGGTATTTCCTGTCTTTCGTCCAATGAATGCTGGGATAGACTCCAGCACTCCCCCGTGACCCAGAAGGATAAGTGGCTTAGATATTGTGTGTGTGTGTGTGTGTATGTGTGTGTGTGTGTGTGAGTTTGGATATATAGTGTATAATCAATAAACAGACAACTAACTACAAACAAATTTAATTTTTTTAAAGTTTTATTTTCTGAAAAACATCGGAATCCGGTCTTGATCTTGTCTTGGTCTCGGCCACTCCTGGTCTCGGTCTTGACTTGGACTAGGACCTAGCGGTCTAGACCACAACATTAGCACAAATATCTAATAACTACCCAGAACTACAGTATACTCACCAGGTATTACCTACCTGTTCAGCATTTCAATGCATATCATTGTCTTGGAGCTTACCATCATGTTACCCAAAGTAATTATCTAGTACTTTGGAGTTTGTACATCACACTAACTAGAAGGGGGACTGGGAAAAAAAAAAAAAACATTACCAAAGGTTTACAAGTCAGGTTTTTCCTAAAACTGTAAATCGACTCAATTGAATTATGGAAACTTTCCACACAATTAAATGGATTTTTTTCAAAATTAGGTCATTTTGTCGATCCAACATTTTTAAATTAACCAAACTTATTCTGCTATAATATTTCCATCTCAATTCATTAAAGTTTATTGAACTTGATTTACTAGTGTTGATTTAAGTTATGTTGGTCCAACTTATCTTACTAGAACTCGTTTAACAGGTAGTTCCCAGTCAGATTAGAACCACATTCAGCAATAGGGAATATGATAAAGCACAGTAACAAGATTAGGCACAAGATTCAAGCATACACCCCAGAGGAGATAATCTAGAACAGAGGTTGGCAACCCAAATATTGAAAAGCCATTTTTTCCTTTCAACAAAAATCAAACCACCTTTGGGAGCCACAACATTTTATGTCCATTTTACCATCTTGGCTGTAAATATGTCTCAGTATGTGGAAATGTACTAGTGTAGGCTAAAAAATATAAATGGAAACACAGACTTACTTTGCTCTGCTTTAAGCTTTAGCTCAGCTATAGACACTTTTCTTGCATCTCCAGCAGGAAACTTTTCCGCGAAAGTAGAACAGTTTATTGTAAAGTGTTACTCTACTTTTTACGAGGCTGAATTTCAGCTTCTCCATTGCGGCTCCTTGTTCTAATTTTCCCATTTCACCTTGAACAAGAAGCTGGTGAATGAGAAACTGACTTCATCTTTGCAACTTTTTAGTGTTTGACAGTTTCTCGTTGCAGATTAAACGTATCAGGAAACCAGCTGGAGTGATTATAAATGGAAATAAGTCAGTTCATCTGCAAATCATCATGTTCATCTTAAATCTTTCTCTTTGACTTTTCGTTAGCTACTAGCTAGGTGAGATTGTTGTCTGCATTGCTATGTGACCAGCAGTCTGCACACCAACCTTCAGGGTTAAAGGGTGAATAAGCAGTTACTAGTTAGTACTATTTCAATACTTCTTTGGACTAAATTTGCCCACTTTTTTAGTTTATGAAAGTATACTTTAGGTGTAAAAGTAGTAAACTTTGAGTACTACACTAAAAGTGAAAAGTACTGTTATAATACTGTTATAATACTGTTATAATAGTACTGTTAGTGTAGTAGTTATACATTTCCATCCCACTTTTTAGTTTATGAAAATACACTTTTAAGTATACTCTCAGTAAACTATTAGTTTACCCTGCAAGTATACTTGTAAGTTTTTTGTAAGAGAATTTAACATAATACTTAGTTTACTACTAATATATATTTTTTGCACTTTAAAGTATACCACCATGCTTCTACTTAGGTATTGTTCTTTATACTTGAAATATATCTTTAATTCTACTTTAAGTAGACTTAAAGTTAACTAATATGGACATTACTAATGGACTGCACATAAAAATTCATGCTTAAGATTAAGAAAGTTTGTCTTCACATATCAGAATTTTCGAATATTGCATATGATACCAAAATATAAGAACATAAGAACTCAAACTGACACTCCAGTACAAAAAATACAGTTTGATATTGGAATTTGTGTCCGAAATCAGTCCCTGGCTGCCCACAAACAGGTTGTACTTCTGTACAATTGACATAAAATATCAGGTTCAGTTTGACCCGTGTACTGTTTACTTTGAGCTATTACACCCCAAACTACAAGCCAAGTATACTTAAACTTTATGTTTAAGGCGAGAATACTTAATTATACTTTAAAATTTTATTTTGTAAGTATATCGCAATCAAAAGTATAAGCACAAATATATTGCCAAATATTTGTCAATATAAGCCAAGTATAATCACATATAATTTTATTTGGTATATAAAAAGTAAACTGAAAGCCTATTCACTTGTTTTCATTACAAAACATTACAAAACATTACAAAACGGTACAATGTTACACATCGGTTAGTCATCATGACATTGTACATCCAACTTATTCAAAACAAACACATTAGTGCTATCAGTCGTTTGTTATAATCTCCTCTACTTTGATCCTCCATGGCTCATACACACAGTCCTCCTCCAATCCACTGGACACCATCCCGCAGTTAGGAGGGACCCAAGCTGTGTCGTATCCATGATCGTGCCACGTCTTCTGCAGGGGATGGCCTTGATAATCGATCTTCTTCACTTTTCCCACTCGTACACTCAGTTTGAGGACGGCTAGCTTCTCTCCTGCTTGTCTGTACATTGGATATCGAGAGGCCTTGTCAAAACTCCGGCTCAAGTAGACGCCACGTCCTAGCATGCCGTCAGCGGATGGGATGAAGCCCTCCTTTAGGATTTTCATAGCCTTGTCCATTGTAGTGCCATGGTACATAGTGAAATACCGGTGTCCAGAATATTGCTGATCTCCCATCTCTTCACACTCTGCTTTGCATGATCCTAGAAAATAAAGGTTAATTCACTCTTATCCAAGAGTCTGTAAACTGCATTACAGCTCATTGATCAGCGCACGACTCCTTCAAGGACCCTTACATTTTAGTGCACTTCTAAGTCAGAGTGCTATGTATTCTGCTTGATCATGTGTTTTACAGCAATGGCAGCTACAAATTTGGAAAACACTTTATTTTAAGGAAAACATCACTCAAGATCACAAAACAATGGTTCTTCAAGGGCTCTTTAGTAAATGCAATGGTTCTATTTAGAACCATGAGTTCTATATAGAACCATTTCATGCTTAAATGGTTCTTTGCAAGGCAATATGGTATTTCAGATTGATGGAGAATGTGTTGTATATGGTTCTGTATAGAATCGTTTTTGAAAATTGTTCTATTTAGCACCAACAAGGGATCTTCTATTGTTAAAAGCTTGCCATTGCAACAATAGAAGAACCCTTTTTTGGTGCTACACACTTAAAAATGGTGGTTCTTCAAGGGTTCTTTAGTTAAGCAATGGTTCTATTTAGAATGATTTCATGCTTAAATGTTTCTTTGCATGGTGATATGGTTCTTCAGATTGATGTAGAATATGTTGTGTATGGTTCTATATAGAACCTAAAAGAGCTCTTCTATTGTTACAAGCTTGACATCATAACAACAGATGAACCTGTTCTGGTGCTAAACACTTAAAAAAATATGGTTCTTCAAGGCTTCTTTAGTAAAGGCAATGGTTCTATTTGGAAGAATGAGTTTCATATAGAACCATTTCATGCTTAAAGCGTTCTTTGCATGGCGATATAGTTCTTCAGACTGATTGAGAATGTGTTGTATATGGTTCTATATAGAACCTAAAAGAGTTCTATATAGTTCTATTGTTACAAGCTTGACATCATAACAATAGAAGAACCTTTTTCGGTGCTACATACTTATAATGTATTATTCTTTTAGGGTTCTTTAGTAAAGGCAATGGTTCTATTTACAACCATGAGTTCTACATAGAACCGTTTCATGCTTAAATGATTCTTTGCATGGTGATATGGTTCTTCAGATTGATGGAGAATGTGTTGTATATGGTTCTATTTCATATCTATGTTAAAAAATGATGGTTCTTCAAGGGTTTAGTATGAACTCATTGTACTAAATAGAACCATTGCCTTTACTAAAGAGCCTTTCAAGAACCCTCATTTCTAAAAATTAGGCAGTTCTAAATGTCTTATTCAGTAGGCTTTACACTTTAAACATTACAACCTGCAGGGATGCATATTTGGTTTGTTATGCAAATATTACATAATGTAATATTATATGATGATGGAACGTAACAATCAGGGTTAGGATGTAATGGAATGCAAGCATTGGGAATACAGAAATTAAGTATCTGTATACAGTCCCAGTTACATTTTGTAAAGGCTGATTCAGAGTACAGTTTTTATGCAATCTTTCAAAAATCAGTGGGTAGCATGTAGCATGATCTCTATACAAATTCTAATGAGGATCACAATTAACAGTTTGTTAAGCTGATTTTCTTGCTAAAGCCTGAGTAGACTGATAAATCAATGTGATGATCAGTTATTTACCTCAAACTAATAATCCCCTCAGAACTGGACATGTTTGTGAGTAATAAGTTTAAAATCTGTGTTGTTCTGGGCTCCTGCTTAGGGATTATGGGAGTAGCAGTGGACTGAAGCAGGCGGTAAGAAAGAAGACTGAAATTTTGTAAGTTCATTTAAAATTTAATAAGTGATTTCTTTCATGAAACATATTAACAGAGTAATTACATGAAAGAAAAGTGCCTAACAGTAACAGCGAGTAACAGTGTTAAAAAAGAGAATTTAACATCACTTATCGAGATGTATTGTAAATGTGTTTTATGATACTTCACTTCAAGATGTGTTCCTTATTGTGAAGTGCAGTTTTATTCTTCACCAATTAGATTTTATGTATTGCTGCTGTCAGAACAAAACCTCGTATCTCCAAAATGGTAACTTTACAGGAGAAGGAAATAACCTACTTTACTTTCAATGTAAGTCAATGGAACCAGACGTTTTTCCAAGTCATTTTGGGTCATTTCTTCTGGTCCATTCATTGTGAAATTTACATACAATGTAAAGGGCGACAGGCATTTTCAAATTCTGACAAAAACTGGAAAATGGCAAAAATATAGATACAAGGTTTTGTTCTGACCGCAGCGATATGTTATAAATACACTGGGTGATGAAAATGTAGTGAGTAAAAAGCTATTTTTTTTATCTTGGAAATGTTAATGAATAAGAGCACAGCTATTCTATTCCAACAACTCCAAAAATGTAAGTGTAGTAACAAAGTACAATCACAAAAGTGTTCTTCAGCCTGACACACCTAATTATACACACTGACCAAGTGTGTGCCTCCTTAGGCTACTATACACAGAACATTTAAATAAATAATGAAATTAGAACCAAAAAAGTTTGTTAGTTTGTTTCTCAAAAGTTTGTTAATGGGAAATCATACTTACCCCTGTCACAAGTAACACAGTTACCTTCCCAGATGCAGCTGCAACTTAGTTTCATTTTTGCTGAGTGTGGCTTGTAATAAATAGCAGAGTGTGGGACTTCCCAGAACAAACAACCTACTGAAGCTGTATATATAGTGCTACACTGAGCATTCCAGAGATGTGCTTCATTCTTTTCAACCAAGGGAGAACTTCACATTAAATCTTCTTTTAAAGAAGAAGCATTTTCTTACTTCACAGTTACGCCCTATCATTGGTGGGGTTTATTACTATCACTTTCTGTTTAAGGGTTTAAAGTTCAGTTCCTGAAAACCAGCTATTGAGCAATGCTGTAATAATCAATGGAATGCAGCTTTTTAAAAAAAGCAGCTAAGGTTGTGGGACCTTCTGAGGAGAATAACAGGTTGAACTATGACACCATGGCAGTTCTCACATCAGTTTTCATGCTGTGTTGCAAAGAAATATGCCACTGGTAACACTTTAATATAAGACGGCATTATAATACCCTTATTATGCACTTATTAAGCATTGATAAACAAGTAACTGACAGCTTATTACTACATTATTAAGCAGTAACCTAGGGTGAATTAAGCATATTACAGAACACTTGTAATGCTCTGATTAAGCCATTAATTGACAGTTAGCCCTCACTACTATTTAGCCATCATGTCAAAATGCAGTTTTAGTCATAGTTATTATTTACAAATCCGTTATTATGTCGTCTATCATGTCTTATGCATTCAAACCAAACTGTTTTTCTTAGTCTTGACCTCTCTACTCCTGGTCTGAGTCTCGGCCTCAGTAAGGCCTATGGGTGCATTACAGGTGCTGTGGGAAATGCTTAATTCACCCTAATCACTGCTTAGTGATGTAATGGGCAGCCAGGTAATTAGCACATTGGCTTGATTAGGCTTAATAAGGCCTAAATAGTGGACGCCTAAAATGTTGTGCAAAAGATGATGTATAATAATATGAATAGATTTATTAATGCTAGCGCCTGACCCACTTTCAGTGAGCAAGCTAGCTATCTAGGTAGGTACCTAAGGTATGTTGGTACCTTAGTTAGTCACAGGTGAACATGTTCAGCAGTGAGCAGAGCTGTTATCATGCTAGCTAAGCTAGTGTTAACCAGTTGTCTCCAAGTTAGCAGCAGTGTTTAACTGATTATTAGATTGATATTTATTGAGGCTTGAAAATCATGCACAGTGATCACTTATTTCTTTTACCTGGTGATCATGTGAACCACTTTTTTATTATTTTTTAAATAACAATATTTGAAATAAGTAGAACGCAACAGCACAAAAACAAATGGTCACTTACGATGCTTTTATTTGGATACCACCCAAAACTACTCTAAATAGCTAATTTGCTATATTTTGCACTAGGTGCAGAGACTTACTTGAGGTAGGGGGGAGAGCGGGGCACAACTTCACACATTTTGTTTTTTTTGTGAAATAATTTTTAAAATATTTAAGTTGAAATAATCATTTTTATACAAGCAACAGTTGAACTTTGTTTCTAGCTCTTACCGTTCATGTACAATTCCGCTGAAAATGACGGGAAGTGCAGTGTTACAATTTACCCCATGAGTGGGGTTAATAACGTAATATTAGCTGAAAGTCCACGCCTACTCCAGTCACAGGTATGGCAGATATCTGCTTGGAGGCACCTGCACTTAGTTTCTATATATACACTATGTTGACAAAAGTATTGGCACACCCCTCCTAATTACTGAGTTCAGGTGTTTCATCCACACTCATTGCTAACAGGCAGATATAATTAAGCACATAGCCAAGCAATCTCCATAGACAAACACTGGCAGTAGAATGGGTGGTACTGATGGGCTCAGTGACTTTAAACATGGCACTCATAGGCTGCTGCCTCTTATTTTAAAATAAGAGAAATGGAAGCAACTAGGAGAAACAACAGCTTAGCCACAGAAGCGGTAGACCACGCAAACACACAGAGTGGGGCCGGCGAGGGATGAAGCGCACAGTGCCTATCCTCTGTTGGATCACTCACTAATGTGTTCCAAATTGCCTCTGGAAGCAAAATCAGCAAAAGAACTGTGCTTCGTGTGAGCTTCACGAAATGAGTTTCCATGGCCGAACAACTACACACAAGCCTTAGATCAAAGTGTACAATGCCAAACAGGGGGCTTCAGCATACAAAGGCATTTTGGACAATTTTATGCTTCTAATTTTGTGGGAACAGTTTGGGGAAGGCCCTTTCCTGTTCCAGCATGACTGAGCCCCAGTGCACAAAGCAAGGTCCATAAAGGCATGGCTGGGTGAGTTTGGTGTGGAAGAACCTGACTGGCCCTCACAGAACCCTGACCTCAACCCCATGGAACACCTTTGGGATGAATTAGAGCAGAGACTGCGAGCCAGGCCCTTTTGTCCAGCGTCAGTGTCAGACACTGATGTTGGACGAGAAGGCCTGGCTCGCAGTCTCTGCTCTAATTCATCCCAAAGGTGTTTGATGAAGTTGAGGTCAGGGCTGTAAAGTCAGAGGCGATAGCTCATCTGCTGCTGCACAGTTTGTGTTGGTCATCCTCTACACTGTAATCCCGCATTTTGTTTTAACTCAAATAAATTAAGTCAGTTGTACATAAAACTCAGTGTATCCCACACATCGCTCAACAATTTTAAGTTAAGGGAACGTTTTTGATGATTTTGTACACCCAAATGACATTTTTGAGTTGAATTAACTTATTGCTATTTAGTCTGTTGCTATGGCAACTTTGAAACCCCACATTCAAAACATGATGACATATCTGTTGGTTTTAATTGTTTCTTTCTCATTAAAGTTGCTGAACAAATGTGTGAAACTGGGTGAAACTATGTAAGCTGTGAAATACAGTTACATGTTTGTTACACGATTTTATTAGATAAAACGTATATTTCTTTCCCATTGGCTCCTGGCTCCATCTATTTGCATATTGAGTGTTTCTTTCCCTTTGTTTTACTCACCGTCAGTGTGCTTTCATTCCACCCAGGCTGCCTTTCCTCAGACGAATGTTTTTTATATATGCTTTACTCAGCTGCCTGACATTGTGTTGTTGGCTAAGAGTGAAGGTTATCGTTCTCTTTGCTGATGAGTGGGCATTTGTGTTGGTCAGTGACCAGGTTCACAGTAAAGGTTAACCCTTCAGTGTTTAGTGAGCTGGTTAATGTCACTTAAATAGAAAAAAAATCCCAATTGCCTAATGAGACATGCAATTAAATTGCAATTTCAAGACGTTAAATTAAAATAATTAGAATTTACGAGTTGCGTAATTATTCTAATTCAAGTTTTCATTACACATTACTTCATTTTTTTAAGGGCAACCGGTTTCCCCAAATTTTTTAAGTAAATTCAACTTATCCGGGCTCACAGTGCAGTCCTTCATCAGTGGTCACAGGACGCTGTTGGCTGGATATTTTTGGTTGGTGGACTATTCTCAGTCCAGCAGTGACACTGAGGTGTTTAAAAACTCCAGCAGCACTGCTGTGTCTGATCCACTCAGACCAGCACAACACACACTAACACACCACCACCATGTCAGTGTTACTGCAGTGCTGAGAATGATCCACCACCCAAATAGTACCTGGTCTGTGAGGGTCCATGGGGGTCCTGACCACTGAAGAACAGGGTAAAAGGGGGCTAACAAAGTATACAGAGAAACAGATGGACTACAGTCTGTAACTGTAGAACTACAAAGTGCTCCTATACAGTAAGTGGAGCTGATAAAATGGACTGTCAGAAAAATCAGTATTATACTCTATGCTAATGATTGAATTACCATATATGGTGATGTTCTAAGCTAAGCACTCTGTAGGTAAAGGAGTTCAGACAGAGTGCACTGCATGCACTCGAGTGGAACTTGACCTTTGGGTTAACTTGAAGAAATATGATATATCAGATAACGGAAGCTGGGTGCGGTCCAAGGTTCTGTAAGGGTGAGACGTACATCTCCGAAGGTATAAGACAGAGCATGACCCAAAGTGCTTTGAGCATTACAATCTAGACTTGACTCTGTGTGTAACTGCTCCCTTGCTGCAAGAATAAAAGCTTCAAAGACATCGGTGGTCTCAGGCTGATAGATTTCTCTTACATGGACAATGAGCGTAGAAACAAGGAGGTGGTCATAATGTTATGCTTGATCGGTGTATCATGCAGTTTGGTTGGAAAATATACTCGTTTCTTATAACATAGAATTATATTGAATTAACTATGTTTGCACATCAGACTTTTCTAGCAAGTGTTAAACTAACCATGGGGTAAACTGTAACATGGCACTTCCAGTCATTTTCAGCAGAATTGTACGTGAACGGTAGGTGTGAGAAACACAGTTTAAGCTTTCATTTGTAGCAGAGATGTATATGTTGCTTGTATAAAAATATGATTATTCCAACTGAAATATTTTTAAAATTATTTTGCAAAAATAAATGTGGGAGGTTGTGCCCTGCTGTCCCCTAATTCTCATGATTTACTACTGTTGCACTTGCACGTGCCTCGACACTACTCAGGTCTGTGTATTAGGTACTTTCCACTTAAACTAGCCTTGTGGTTACATATCTAGTTCTTACAGTAGATAATGAATAATAAGCCTCAATATGTAATAAGTGGGATTTTAAGGGGTCAATAGGCAGTGTCTGCAGTGTCTGCAGTGTTTTGGCCCGCAAGGACTGGAGCCTGACAGGTGTGGAAGGGAGGAAGGAAGTGAAACTTCCTGTCGTTTCCCAGAAGTAGACTGAATTTCACAGCAAAAGGGGGAGGTTCCATCATAACTCGGCTAAAGAAAAGAGGAGCGTTTCACTTCACAGCACCCTGAGACAAAAAAAAAAAGAAAAACGCATGAATTTACAGCGAAAGGAATTAAGCCGCAAAGTTTAACACAACTAATCTGAGAGGCTTCTTAATCGTCCTAAGCAAAGGTAAGACTTTTGAATGTAGAGCTGAGTGAGAGTTAGGACGGATTGAGAAGACTACACATAGCACACGAGACTACTTCAAATGAAAATGGATAACTGTTGCCGTATTTGCTTTATTTGTTCTTCATTGGTTTGAATGTATTGAGTATTATGATCCATTCCGGCCTGTTAATATGAATGAAAACCTGAGAGTGGAAATTTCACAATAAGATATGCAGCTTTGATGCTATAAGGATGTGCAAAGCTTTTAGATAGCTTGAACTGAAGGCCTCGGAAAGGTTTAAAAACAATTCCTAAACCTTTATAGTTATTATTAAAGTCTGTTAGCTT